GTAGATGTTGGTCTGGTCTGGCCTCCTATTGCTGCCTCTTAGCTGTTGCGAGGGGGCTAAGGATCATGCTATGTTGCAACAATTTGTCAATTGATCTGTTGTTTCTGAAAAAAAATTTGTTTTGTTCAATTACATTGAAGTAGCGATATCTGTTTCAGCATTGTTAGTGCTTAGGCTCTACATCTTTAATTTTACAATAAGCAAGCTTTTCTCAAAAACCTGATTTTTCTCTTACTAACTGGGTACAAAAATTTGAGGCCAAGAGCAGCTTGGAAATAATGCAATCTACAAAGATATATATGATTGGTGACATTATTAGTCCGCGATATTGATTGGCTACAGGTCTTAGGAGTTTCTGTTATGTTGATGTCTGCAAAACTGCAATTTACTGTGCTCCCTCTAAAAGTTGTTCAGTAAGGATGTTGACTGCTCCTATGTACTTAAGAATGGAAACATTCGGAACTAGAGCATGTCCATATGGAAATATTTATAGGATGTTAGTTACTAAAAGGCATGCAAGAACAGTTATTGAGATCCTGGGAGTTCAAATAAATAAGCTCACTTTTGAAGGTTTTTAAAAATAAGCATGTTGTCAAACCTAGTTTTGTTAAGTAGATTGGTTAATGACCGTCATTCTGCATGTTGTAACTAAGAGTTTAAGTTGCATATCAACATACCCTACTGGCTAGAAATATGATACACCAAATCAGGCATTGAAATTTCACTTATCCCCTGGATTTGGCTGGCAGCTATGAAATTGCATTTATGGTGCTGATGTATGGGTGCTGATGGCACTTGGAGAGAAGGCACCAGATCCTACATAAATACATCAAATACCTAAATTGGCCTTCCCTTTGATGAGTTGGTGAAGCAACTGCTTCATCTCTTGCCTCCCTGCTAATTATTTACAGCAGCAACACAAAAACTCTTCTTGGCACGAGAAAATTTCCATGATGAAAAATCTCTTCATTTGATCCCCTTTATAACTTGAGGGTCCAATATCAGTCTGAAACATCTGAACTCTCAAGATGGTGGAAACCAGTTTGATATAGACCTGCAACACTCATAAGCACATAAATTAAGTAATCTCGATAACAGGCCCTGGGATAGTTTATCGTCATAGAATTTCCCAGATCTTGAATGATGCATTAGATGTGTCCCAACTAGCAGAGGAATTATCTTAGATCAGTAAAGGACTTGCTTTAAGTTTTGAAGAAGACCATTGAGGAAGATAATACAAAGAAAAGAAAACAAAGCTTCGACTCCAACCAATTTACGTTGATAATTTTTCCAGTTTTCATTGCTAAAGTTTCTGCCCATAGTGTTTGATGCTTACGCTTAAACATTATATCATCTTCTTCGCTGAAGAACCTACTCTTAGAAAACTTTCACTGAATTGTTTTGTTCTTTTGTTGCTTGTGGGTGGACATTATTATATCATATTCTTAGCTTAAGAATGCCCTCTCGGAGAATTTCTTTCGATTAGTTCTTTCTGTTTCCACTGACAATGTGGTTGTGAACGGCTGATACTGCAGATATTCTTCCCTCTTGGACCGACATCGGTTGCGATATTTGGTGGGCTTGGAGCTGTGGTTTTCTCTGCTTTCATCGTGTATGACACTGACAACTTGATCAAGCGCTACAACTACGATGAGTACATTTGGGCATCAGTTGTCCTCTACCTCGACATACTCAACCTCTTCCTTTCTATCATGAACATGCTTAGAGGCATGCAATCAGATGGTTAGGACTAAAAGTCATAAATGGTTTCTTCGGCAGATGGTTTTGCCATTTATGTAATAAAGTTCCTTAGTTTAAGGTCATCTGAATGTGGAAATATACTGTATATGTTCGGTGCTATTTTAGGATCATAGAATGCACTACTAAACTATGTCGGTTGACTTGCCGTCGTGCATGGTCAATTATTGTTCCGCTTGTCTATCATTAAGTTGGCTATAGTTTGTGTTTACCGAAAGGTATCAACTTAGTTGTGGCTGTGTGTTTTTATTTCACTCTTGCAATCCTATTAATGATTCTTTTAAGGTGTTTTTTTCAGCTATATCGTACATATTTATATTCCTATTAATAATAATATAAACGCTGAATCCGTGATAGTGGATTTCACTCTAATATGTCTAATATAGATGATAGTTATATACTTGATATTATTCATGCTGGAATAGATGCTAATCTTGGTGATTTAAATTTTATAGGTTTTCATAAACAAGGAAGCATTAATTGAATGAGTTGTACAAGTAGAAAAGATGCATGAATTTGTCAATGGTTATAAAAAGCTAAGAATATAAAAAGGCTTGGAGGAAGGAAACCTAAAATACGATTATGTTGTGAATGAAGTGGATAATATTAGGAGTGTATAAATTCTCTAGATATGTCCTCTAGTAAACATATTGAAGCCTAGGATACATCCTCTAGTGGATCTGAAACATATGTAGCTATCTCATATGGGCAAATCAATACATCACAAATACGTATGAAAGCATATCTTCATGGTTTTTTTATATGATTATGACATGGTCTTATATGATCAATAATTTTGATAGCCCTCGATAAGTACTATAAAAAAAACTGTAATTAGAATATCTTAATTCATGATTCAACATAAATAAATTATTAAAAATAATTAAGTAAATCTTACTATATCCACTATAAGAGTTACTTCTCTCAACTTTATAAGAGTCGTTATCTTGATAGTCTGACGAGTTATTATCAGGATTTTAAATGATTGGATATGAGGTACATCGATTCTAATCCATATAATTAGGTGACGTATCATATGGATTTATAACTCGAATACAAGGTCTTACTATTGTTTACACAATGAATCAATGTACCATGCTCAACATCATATCGGAAGTATTAAACACCCCTCTTAGCATGTGATGTTGAACAAGGAGACTATGTACTCATGTATCGTAATTGTCGTAATATCCTATCTGGGTAGTATGGTTTAAGAATAATACTACAATTTAGACATTCAGAGAAAAGATGATAGATGGTATCATATGATATAATCTTATATCAAGATAAGGGGTCCCAAATCACTTGCATAGAAAAAATGATCTATAATAATTCATTAGTTGATTAATCTATACTTAATATACTATTTATTTTAGTTAAATATACTTATTTTTTCAATAGTATGCAACGGGGAGAGTTGATAACATCAATGATAGGGAGTGATGAGGGATAGGCCATGGGTGGTGATTGGCGATAATGAGCAACACGGAGAGTCTATGATAGTAGGGTACGAAGCAATAGGGATTAGTGGGGGGCAGGCCATTGATGGTGATCGATGGTAGCAAGCACAAGGGAGAGTAGGCAATGAGGGGCAGACTAAAGCAGTGATCAATGGTGATTATTAGTATGGAGAGTCACTAACAATAACGTGCGTAGGCGATAGGGAGTGGTGAGGGATAGGATGGGGGTAGCAATCTATAACAAGGGTGGTGGGGATCGTTGGGAGCGATGATTGACAACAATAAATGATGGGGAGAGTTGATGATAGTATGGTGCACAAAAGGAGCTCTAAATAATAAGAAATTATAATTATTATTTAATTAATTTTTCAAGGGGTGTGAATAGTAATAAGATTGTGAATGTCAAGAAAGGAGCTCTAAATAATAAGCTCCTTTTTCAAATAATATGCTCACATTTTCACAAACTATTTAATCCTCATCAAAACCATTTTCTCTATCTAAATACCTGATGTTTCGCCTGATTTCCGAGTGCAAGCTGACCTTTTTCTCCTCCTCTCCAGTTAATTATGCTTGAAATTTGACATGGACGCTTATTTACTGTTTGTTGAAATGCCATAAAGAACTCGGGCATTTGTGGCGCACTTGCAGCTGAAAGGTCTGTGAATTGGTGGCATATAACTACTTGTAGATGCAGCATCAAGCAGCCGCATTCAGGTAAGAATCTCTACACTATATATAACTTTTTGAAGTACTTTTATCCGATCATTTGTCTGCTGAGTCATGTACGATGAGTAGAACTTGGCCAGGCTATCTACTAGAATTTTAGCTGCTTGGTGTCCTATTTGTAGTCCTTCATCCCCAACTCAAGTTCCTCACAGTTGTCTACCTTTAGCCAACATTAGATGCTTCAGAAGATGGCCACTGTCATAAGCTCTGGACTCAAAACTTCTTATAATTACATAAATATATTGGTTCATACCAACTGTCTCAGCTATTTGTGGTAGGGTCTATGGATCATTTTGAGGTTGTGCAAGGCATTATCATTAATTAATCAAGATCATCTGATTCTATTACAGTTTTCTTGGGTTATCTTCTAACTCTTCTCATATCACTTATACTAATTGTTTCATCATCTATAGGTGTCCCAAATTTTGGAGCACAAAGCAACTTGGGTTTTGTCTTAGATGATTTGCTTATCAAAATCACAACAACAAGGTGAATTTGGTAAAATAATCATGAGATGCTTTAATTTTTTTGCAGAAGGGATAACAAAGGACTTGCTAGCATTGAATTTTTGGCAAGTAATAAGAACTTGTTTTGTCTAGTTTCTTCTTTGCTATTATATTAAGTTTGACATATGGGAACTGCACTTGGTGCCGAGAGGATATCAAGTTTATCCTGCCTTTTATACATGATAAAGGCTTCTTTTTTTCTTTTTGAAGATTAATTTTGCAAACTTCCTCTAGGTATCAGACACCATCTTCAATCTTCGAGATGATTCTTGATCAGAGGTATTTTAAGAAGCTTAATTTTCCTTTTCTATCTGATGAATGATTAAGACTTTCAGAGAGATGAGATCTACAGTTCTTATAATGTCCATCTCCCTACTGAAAAACCTATGAAATGAAGGATCTAAGAGTTCCACAGAGGTGAGATCTAAATCTTTTTTTAGTGTCCTATATATTACCATGTGTAGTTACAACTATGAAGATGCCCTACTGAAAAGCTAAGGACAAGTTCAAAAGAGTATCATTAGATAATGACCAAATCAATTTCATCGCAAGTTCAAAAGAGTATCTTCAAGTTCTGATTTCCTTCATGATAAGATACAACCAGAAGTACATATTTTGATGTTGATATTAGTCATTTATAATGTTGACATCATTTGGATCCTCAGCTTCCATTGCAGTATTACAATCTATTCCAGTATATAATCAATTATTAGCTCTTAGAGAGTGATAAATGGATTGTAATTTGCCATCTTCTTGTACTTCAGATGCACAGCAACTCCTGGTAGTCCCCAAGAAACAATTTACCAACAAAATCTTAATAATCTTTCTCTTACTTGGAGGAATTCAGTGATTCTTGGATCTCTTCCAATGAACGGCCTTTTGTTTCAGGTACTACCATTGCCACAAATACAATGGTTGCTGCATTAGCTGCCGAAAAGATGAAAAAGGTACCTGTAGAACAGGTGAAGAAAGAGCAGGTATTCATCTTGCTAAATTACACCACTAAAAGAAAAGTCAAAGTCCAATTGTATTCGGTTATCAGAATAAGTGGAATAAACAGAAGAAGATTATTTTTAAAAAATCTAAAATTATTCACTTATTACTTTTATATATTTTTTATCCCACGTTACTAGTTAATTAGTTTTCAAGACCTAAAACTAGTATAAATAAAAGCCCCTCTAAGTTTATAGAATCATCAATAAATAATATCTTTAAATATTATAAAAATATTCTCCACTATAACAAGTTGATTTCTCTCAGCCTTACTCTTGGTGTTAGCATAATAGGTCTGTGGTTAGAAAATTAAGAGATATGCTCTACACTTGCCACTTATAACTCATCTTATGTATCAAAAATTTAATTTGTCAAGTATAATCTTATAGCCCATCAAGATGAGTCTAGTGGCAATAACGGTGGCAATGGTGACGGTGTTATTAGCGATGACAATGGCAATTTCGACGGTGATGACTTTGTGATAGAGATAATAGTAATAATCTCAACAATAATGATTGATGAGTGTCAACTCTATGGGCTATGTTAGAAGCACAAGAAGTGAGAATGACCTAGGAACTTCAAGAGATTCAAGACATACTAATATGGGTATAGGCGCCAACAAAGTTCATGATGATGGTAGAATCAACTACACTAGAGTTGATGCTAATGGCCAACCTAATAATCAACATAGCCCTACAATCCAGCATAGGCAACCAGCCTATGAATATGAGTCAAACGAAGAAGGAATTGTGGACTATCACAAAGCCAACCAAAGGAGAGGTACAGGTGCAGCTCAACCTTGACACTACAATCGATGTGGTACTATTTGCCCACAACAGCCAACAGTATATGATGATGACTCAAAAGATTACAATGAACGATACGAAAGACATCAAGTACTAACAAGATGAAATAAACTATCTGAGGACTACCACCTCAAAGTAGACCTCCCCAATTTTAATATCCACCTCAGTAATGAAGCTTTTCTTGACTGGAGTTATCAAGTAGAGAAAATTTTCAAGATGATGGATGTTCCTAATCACAAACAAGTCAAGCTTGTTATAGACAAGTTGAAAGAAGGTGCAATAGCTTAGTGGGGTACATTATAGAATAACAAACGAAGATAAGGGAAGGCACCGATTCAGACGTGGTAAAAGATGAAGCAACTTATCAAAGGAAGACTTCTACCCTTAGACTATGAACAACTATTATTTCAATAATACCAAAACCACATCTAAGGCACTCAATTTATAACCAAGTATACCGATGAATTCTTGCACCTTTTAGTTGGATATAACTTATCAGAGTCAAAAGACCAACATATAGCAAGGTATGTCAATGGAATAAAATTTATAATTAAAGATAGAATGTCTTTAACTCTGATATGGATAGCAGATGAAGCTCACAATATGGCATTAAAGGTTGAAATACAACCAATAAATCAAGGCACAAACATTGGAGGAGCAACAAGGGAAGCTAAGCATATCCTAATTACCTCAAATAATCGATATGCTCAACCCTTGGTTAGAAAATATTTCAAATGTGGGGAACCTAGTCATCGTTCCAACGAGTGTCATGCTTGTAAAACTATCAACCGTACATCACAAAATGACTTTGAAAAAGAAAGAGATGCCCAAGATGATACGATTAATGATATTGATAATGCTGAAATAGCAAAGGAAGAAGGGAAACATATCGCATGTATTGTAAAAAGATTATTACTCATCCCAAGGCAAGAAGATCTATCTCAATATAAGAAAATATTTCATTCTCAATATACTATTCATAACAAAGTTTGCGCATTGATTATAAACAATGTAACCTATGACAATATTATATCCAAATCACTGGTGAGATGCTTAAAATTATAGATGAAAGCCCATCCAATACCATACAAGCTAAGGTGGATTAAAGAAGACCCAACTATCACTATAACTAAGATCTGTAGAGTTCCTCTCTCAATTAAGAAAAGTTACAAGGAAAAAGTTATATGTAAAATAGTTGACATAGATGTATGTCATATGCTACTTGGAAGGCCATGGCAGTATGATGTGAATGCAACCCATCTTGGAAGAAAGAATGTCTATATATTTTGGTAGAACGGTAAGAAGATTGTCATTCTACCGACTAACAAAAAGGGAGATAAATCCAACACTTCTAAAGTGGAAGGAAAGTCTTTCATATCTATTTCCAACTCTATGTAAGAATTTATTGTCCGTTCTATAGAAACAAGAGTATGTTATACTTGAAGGGAGAAAAGCCACCTAAAGCAAAGATTCCAAAAGAATTAAGATCGATGTTGGAAGAATTCAAAGAGATTACTCTTGAAGAATTACTAAATAGACTTCCACCCATGAGAGATATACAGCACTAAAATGATTTGGCTCTAGGAGCAAGTCTATCAAATTTATCTCACTACTAGATGAACCCAAAATAGAATGAAATACTAAGGGAGAAGGTAGAAGAATTGATGTGGAAGGGATATATTCAAGAAAGTACGAGCCCATGTTGCCCTAGCTTTGTTGACACCCAAAAAAGATGAAACACATCTTGGAAGAAAGAATGTTTATATATTTTGGTAGAACGATAAGAAGATTGTCATTCGACCGACTAACAAAAAGGGAGATAAATCCAACACTTCTAAAGTGGAAGAAAAGTCTTTCATATCTATTTCCAACTCTATGTAAGAATTTATTGTCCGTTCTATAGAAACAAGAGTATGCTATACTTTTATTGTGAAGGGAGAAAAGCCACCTAAAGCAAAGATTCCAAAAGAATTAAGATCGATGTTGGAAGAATTCAAAGAGATTACTCTTGAAGAATTATTAAATAGACTTCCACCCATTAGAGATATACAGCACCAAAAATGATTTGGCTCTAGGAGCAAGTCTACAAAATTTATCTCACTACTAGATGAACCCAAAATAGAATGAAATACTGAGGGAGAAGGTAGAAGAATTGATGTGGAAGGGATATATTCAAGAAAGTACGAGCCCATGTTGCCCTAGCTTTGTTGACACCCAAAAAAGATCAAAGATAAAGGATGTGTGTGGATAGCAAAGTCATTAACAAAATCATAGCCATGTATCGCATTCCCATACCTTGACTAGAAGATATGTTGGATCAACTATAAAGCTTCAAGATATTCTAAAAAATTGATCTCTGTAGCGGATATCATCATATTTGCATAAGGCATGGAGATGAATAGAAGACTACATTCTAGATAAGTGAAGGGTTATATGAATGCTTAGTTATGTTATTTATTTGTCTAATGCACCAAGTACATTCATGAGACTTATGAATTAGGTACTTAAATCATTAATCATGAAATTTGTAATAGTCTACTTTGATAACATTCTAATCTATAGTCACGGTAGAGAAGAATATATGGATCATTTATGATAAGTCCTAATTGTTTTGTAAGACAATAAGTTATATATCAATTTGAAGAAGTATGACTTCCTGATAAATCGACTAATCTTCCTAGGGTTCATTGTGAGTGCTGATGGGATTCATGTAGATGAAAAAGAGATTTGTGTCATTTGAGAATGGCCTACCCCAAAGACTGTCACAGAAGTAAGGAGTTTTCATGGCCTTGCTACTTTCTATTGGAGATTCATTATAAACTTTAGTAGTATTGTTACTCCTATCACTAATTGTTTGAAGAAAGGAAAGTTTTTATGGATTGAGGCTACCGAGAAAGGCTTCTAATATTAAAGAAAAGTTGACTATTGCACCAGTGCTTGCATTACTCAATTTTAAAAGGCTTTTTAAAGTAGAATATGATGCAAGTGGAATATATAAATATTTTTATAAAAGGTGAAGTCGTTGAGGCGACGCGACGTCACCTTATATATATATAGAACGATATACTGCTCGATATACAGTATCGTATTGTACCGAGCGAACGTCGAAACTTCGATACGGTACGATATTTCAATCCTTAGGGAGAAGCATTTGACAAGACAACCTATGGGTGATTTTTATATCCATGATGATTGCTTATTTAAATATAATAACCTATGTGTTCCGAGGATGTCTATACGAGAAAAGATTATTCAAGATTAACATAGAGGAGGACTTAATAGGTATTTCAATTGAGACAAAACAATAGCAAGCATCGAGGAGAGATACTTTTGGCCATAATTAAAAAGAGATATTAGTAATTTTATAAGAAAATATCTAGCTTATCAAACTACAAAGAACTAGTCGCAAAACACTAGCTTGTATATGACAGTACTAGTTTTAGAAGACATTTAGGAGGATTCATTCATAGATTTTATATTGGGATTGTGAAGAATTCATAGGGGAGTTGATTCTGTATTTGTGATTGTGGATCGATTCACCAAGATGGCTCATTTCATACCATGTTGGAAGACTTTAGATACGATATATATTGCCAAGCTATTCTTTCAAGAAGTTATATGCCTATATGGGGTACCAAAATCAAGCACTTCTGACAGAGATTCTAAATTTTTATCTTATTTTTTACTGATCTTGTGGAAAAGATTTGGCGTAAGTTTGAAGTTTAGCAGAACATATCACCTATAAACTAATGGTCAGATGGAGGTAACTAATAGGACTCTGGAAAATTTGATTCGTTATATTTGTGGTGATAAACTAAAATAATGGGATTTCGCATTGGCACAAGTTAAATTTGTTTATAACAGCAAAATTCATAGTTCTATCAGAGCGTCACCATCCTCTTTTGTTTACACTAAAGTGCCGAAGCATGTTCTAAATTTAGTTACATTTATGGTGACTCCTGTAATGAGTGTATTAGCTAACAACATGGCTGAGCAAATACAATCAACCCAAACTGAAGTGAAGAAGAAGCTGGAAGCTACTACTACCAAGTATAAAGAAGCAGCGCGTAAGCATAGGAGAGAGAAGGTGTTCAAGGAAGGTATGATTATGGTGTACTTATGAAAAAAGGGATTTTTTATAGACACTTATAATAAATTAAAACCCAAGAAGTATGGTCCTTATAAGGTCTTAAAGAAAATAAATAACAATGCCTATGTGATTGATTTACCAAATGATTGGAGGATCTTAAAGGCATTCAATGTTGCAGACTTGTATAACTACTTTTCAAATGAGAATCCATTATATCCATACATAAACTCGAGGGTGATTTTTTCTCAAGTGGAGGGAAATAATATGGAACAATGCTTAAAACTAGTTAACTAGTTTTCAATGCTTAAAACTAGTATAAATAAAAAGTCCCCTTTGAGCCTATAAAATCATCAAAAAATAATATCTTCAAGTTTTGTGAAGGTCTTTCTAGTTGATTTCTCTTGTCCTTCCTTATAAGGTTAGTTTGTTAGAATCCTTTCTAGTAATATTTTCTTAATTTTATTTTATTCTGCGTCAACAAGCTTTCCTCATTCTTTGATCTTCTATTACTATAATGAAATCTACCATATTATTTGTTCATGGAGTTCTTAACAAAAAAAAACACAAACAGAGAGCTAAATTTCTGAATGGCATGTGGAATCCTTCTAGTAATGTGATTACTCTAATAAGTAGAAAAGGTACTCAACTTTGAATTTTATGATCTTTATTACGAGATTCTTAGAATGAGCTTGCCTCTTTTATCTTTTCTTTTCTTTGGATAGTTATCAGTCATATTAGATTGCGACTATACATGATTATTAAATAATTTTGAGCACCAGCAATGCAGTGCATAATGTAGTAGCAGACCCCTTACCTGCTGAACTCCAACTCATGAGAAAGTTGAAAGCATAAGAGACTGCCCAAGAACCAAACCAGTTCACCAAAGTCACTAGGCTTCCTCCAATTCCTTTTATGTTTATGGGGAATACCTGTGGAAAACAAAGAGGTTGAGACAATGTGAGATTTCCAATAGCCTTTTCGATTGCAAGGAAAATTAACAAAATCATCTTACCTCAGACATGATGACCCAAGGAACAGCACCCATTCCTATTGAAAATGCACCCACATACACCTACTTATTGAAATGGAGTGAATTGGAGCTTTAGAGTTTGCTTAAAAGCAAATAATGGAACACATCATTTACATAATCACCAACTGTTGAACTGTGCACAACTATGCAATTGGATATGGCACAAGGAATTTTGTAAAATTGGTAGAAGCTTTTATTAAGTCAAATTTAGTGCAGTTGGCTATTTGGTATAAGTCTGGCAATGATAGTTTGGAATTAGAATGTTAGATGGATCCCCCAATGAAAACAACCCCAAACTTGATGTTCTTGCTTACCAATATGCCGCAGAGAGCCAGTGTAGGAACCCATTCCATATAAATTCCCTGTGCCTGTTTCAACAGGTATGGTTAACTTCAACCAAAGTCATGCTCACTCCAGAGTCTTTGATTCAGACTTACCTTGAGATAGAATGATGTCCCTGTGATAAAGCAACCAATGAAAGTCCCTGATGCAGAAACCTGCATTGCAAAAGATTGTCACTCCTTTGAAGCTGATTGGCAGAGCAAAGAATTTGAACCACACTTTGCCTACCATTAGCAGAGGGATTCGACCACTCCTGTCCATTAAAAGAGCTCCCACTATTGTGATGGGTACCTATGTATCAGACTCTTAGTAGCATAACTTTAGTAATAGTAATTCGTAGATGATTAAGCATTTGAAAGAATTGAAACCTGAATGGATCCCATCAGAATGGTCCCAAGTTTGCCTGAGGAAAATCCTGCAGTCACAACATGCATTATAATCCTCAATTTTTATTTGTAGTTGTCAAGAAGAGTCAAAATACAGTAACCTCATATTGTCTGAAGCTATTTGTCTACCTGCAGATACAAAAATTTTGCTTGCATAAAATCCAACTCCATTGATGCCCCCAATTTGCTGAAACACCATGAGGCCAACACCTACCTGAACATGGTCAGTGTGATCTATCAAATTTCATGCAGATAAGTTTATTGTGGCTAGTGAATTTAAGAGGTCGCTTACAATCACAGAACGGATATATATGCTTTGAAACAGGTCTTGAATCCCAGCCTTGGGAAGTGTCTGAAGGTCTTCAATGTATTCCTGCATAGCAAGTTTAGTTTACTGTTACTGTTTCATCCTTTAACTTTGATGCTTTAGAATGAGAAACACTATGCTAATAAACACACTTGAATCTCTTCTGCTTCTTGAGTGATATCAGCATCTTCTCCACGAAGCTTTTGCAATGCAGCTGTGAACTCTTTCTGGTTCCCCACCTTTGCCTGAAATTTATTCTCATGTCACCAAGGAACATTTATTCTATTGTGTACTGGGCCCAATAGTATACTAAATGGAAGAGGTACCAGCCATCTTGGAGACTCTGGAACAAAAACAAGTCCGAGAAGTAGAAGAAGGCAAGGGAGAAATCCTGCATAAAGCCAATTCAGCTATTTTTTGTGCTTAATATCAGTTAGCATAATATGAACATTTGTCTGACTTTGTAGTGTCTTCATAATTTTTTGTGTTTTGTGTATCCATAGTGAATATAAGATAAACATTTTAAGATATAATTACCGACTAACACCAGTGTGCGCCAGGTAACAAGAGTGCCGATTACGAAAGCAACCGAATGGCCACCACATATCAGCAGCTGTGAGAAAGAAGTGCAACGTAAGTAATAACATGTATCGAGGTCATTATTGTGAGCAAAGGAGACAGTTTTTACTGTATTAGCATGCTGATGGTTGGAAAATTTATGCTTTACCTGATTCAGGGTTGCAAGTCCACCTCGCAGATTCTTCGGTGCTATTTCAGCAATGAAAACAGGTACCTGTGATGGTATGATCTCATTATAAATCTATTATCTTCAGTGAGTGATTAGTTTCCCTAAATTGCAAGCCTATTTCTCGATCTCTCCTTTGTTCAGCATGATACTAGTTCCTGTCAAATTTTATTAGTTCCTGGCCACCTAAAAGCATTTGTTGTTATGTCATCAAAACATTCTCTTTTTCTCAACATTAATCATTCAGACCATGTTTAACATCTTGAAGTGAGATTGTCTGCTAAAAATTATAACAAAGAAACAATTCAAGAAATCATACCACATAGGAAAGTACTCCAATCCCATATCCTGAGGAAATTCTTCCAAAATACAGCAAGACAGCACCCTTAGAAAGGAAACAACATTTAATTAGCTTAAAAGTCTCTTAAAAGCAAATCAGTGAAGAAATTTGCAATTTTAGTGGTAACCTTTGCAAAGTAAATGGCAAGCCATCCAATAATGCAGATGACAGCAGACACTCTCATGGCCTGCATCATATAGATAGAGATCTAGTGAGTGTGTGCAGAAGTAAATCTTGCACATTAATGCATAAGACTTGTGCTTCCTACTCCTTTTCGACCAATAAAATCTGCAAGATGCCCACTTGTGACTGCACCGATCATCGCCCCAATAGTTAATATCGAACCAAAAACTGAGTACTGCAAAATCGATAGAGAATTGCATGCATTAAATTTATGATATGCAAGATAATTATGTTCCTATTGCATTTCATTAACATTTCTATGATAATATGATAATCTGGCAATAACTTGGGGTGTAATCTGTTACATTAAATTTTTTTACTCTTTTGATTTTATGCTTTGTTTTTTTTTTACTCTTGTTTTCTCTTTCAACATCTTTAAGATTGTCATAGCCAAGAACAATTGACATAATGGATATGACATTGTGAACTCACCTCGGATAGAGAGAGGCCGATGTCCTTTGTAATCCCTGACTGAGTTGGTGCAGAGTAGCCAACCTACAAAATTAAAGATACATATCAAGCTCACAAGAAAATTTTCAGAGCATCAGTAGATTTCATAGTTTCAGACTCATTCATCAAACTGTGTACCCTTTTATCCTAATTACAACTTGTTTTGGATTAACACCAACTTGTGCCAGTGACCAGTTTGAAAGATCCAAATTTTAGGATCATTCATCCTAAATACATAGTTCCCATCAAGCTCAGCTGAAACAGAACTGAAGAGATAACCCAACCTGTTTTAGGAAATATGAGCATAATTCCAGCTACAGCAATGTTCTTATTCTGTATCGGTTCTGGCCATCTTCATAATAGTACTAGCATTTAGTGGCACAGGTTTATCATGAAGAATTCACAGACTTGGAGATTGAAGATGATGATGATGAATAACTTACGCATGATCCAAACTCGAAGGAGCCACAGACCACGACTGCAGTGCTAAGCAGAACCATCCATATCGATCCCTGGCTATCTGCTGAAGACTCCTTCTGGTGGATGAGAAGAGGCTGCCTCGCTTCGTTACCCTGTGCATCATGCATGCCTACACCATTCTCCACATCCTTCGTTATGGCCATTGCAGCCTTCTCTCTACCTTCCCTGCCTTCTATGTGGTCAATAGAAGACGGTGAGTGATGTATCCTAAAATCATATGCAACAAGTGGTGTGATGTATTGTCGTGCAAGAAAGAGAAGAAAGACTTTTCTTTAGAAAGGAGATGTCAGATCCTATATTTATAAAAAATAATAAATTATTATTTTATTATCCATAACTGAGGAAGATATATATTTTTTTATCCTTGAATTCAAATCTCAATCTTTACAATAATAAATATTTTATTAACTAAAAAAGAATCACATCTTCTTGATAAGATGACAAATAACAAAAAAAAAAATCTTCTATCCAAGCTTCAAATCTATTAGAAATTAGTAGATTATTCTGAAAATAAATATAAGATAAAAATATATCAACAACCGCATATGCGGGTAGAAAAATATTTAAAATCATAAAAATAATCTTTAATATTCGTGAAACATATATAAATATTAATAATCCAATATGAAGTGATAATATATCGATTCATTATAAAACTCATACATAAAAAATAATGATAACTGTTATGTAATAAATAAAATCATGCATCAGTCATATTCAACACATACATAATAGTCAGATAACAAAGATGAAGATGTATACTCCACGGGATGAATTCCTCCCAATAGTGAATGAAGAGAACCCATATCGCACTCCCAATAATAGATGGAGTAGTATCCCTCACCTGCCTAAGTAGGGACACATTCATCTCAATAACGAATAGAGGAACCGTCTAACCATCACGTTTGATGGCTAATTAATCCCCAAAGAGAATTCCCCTATCTACCTTGAGCAAGGATACATAAACAACTATAATCTTTCATTTATATTCATCCATTCATTCACCCATGTATCTAAGAAATTGAGTGATAAATATTTGTATCAGCATAACGTGGTCCAAGTCGTCCAAGGTGATATGAAGTCTTTCCCTCCTTGTCTTGTACAAAGACCAAGGTCGAGGAGAGGGGGCGGGTGGGGGGGCTGGGTTGTGGGGCAATTTATAACTAGCCCAAACTGCCCTTTGGTCTTCTCAGAATATGTTGGTAATCGATTGTAACTGATCAGAACTATCCCTTGATCTCATCGAAAAATTCCTATAGATATTCCGCAGAGGAAGCTGATTCATAACTGATCCACATTGTCTCTCAATCTTCTCAAAATATTCTTGTGGATATTCGGTATGATAGTTGATTCGTAACCAATCGGAACTACCTTTTACTCTTTTTCGAAGGTGTCTAAGCAACTCGTCAACTCAGCAGTTTGGTGACTCGAAAATTGACCCGAGCTACCTTTCAGACCTCGACCCTTATGGTTAAGAGAACATCCGTCTATTAGGATCATAAAGGCACTAAAAGGGAGGTGAATTAATTAGTGCTTTCAAAATGGAGAAACGATTCAAAAAATTTGTTCGATGAAATTAGTATCAGAAATATATTTAACTTAGAATATAAGTATAGTAAGCAATTAAATTAGTAAGCAATAGTAAAGTAATGAAGAGCATAAAAGAAAATGCACACTGAATTTATAGTAGTTCGATCATCGCGACCTACATCCACTCCCGATTCCTCTTCCGTTGAGGCCACCAACTTTTACTAATAATCTTCTTTTCAACGGGCGAAGATCAACTACCCTTGTTACAACTCTTTTCTCCTTTTCATAGGCTTAGGAGAGAACTTTTATAACTCTTTTTTATAAGTAATCCTCACACCTCCCTTAGAATGATTGTAATTTGGATAAAAAGGATAAAACTCAAAATTTCTAAAATTCAAAGGAGTAAAATTATCCTTTTCTCCAAAAATGTAATTCCCCTTCCCTGCTCGTTGCATTGCGACCACTATCACCCCGCCGATGAAGATTGGTATACAAAAACTTAATTCCCAAATTTTCATAAAATGGTCATCGTAAGAAGATTAGTATGCAAAAACCTACAAAACTAAAAATTGCATATATATAAGAAAGTCATGTTACCTAGGGAGATCGTATATCCCTGAATTCCTATAAATCTATGGGAGATGATGAAGGAGGTCAATTGTTATAAATCCCTGGAGATCGCTACCCAAATCTCCACATGCCCCAAATAAGGGTTGCTGGCTGAGGAGGAGAATAGGAGATACTAGTAAAAAATATCTAGCCTATGGTCATTTAGTTCCCTCTTAGTTTAACAACTCAAAGATTGACCCAAGGTGCCTTTCGGACCTTGACCCTTATGGTTAAGAGAACATCTGTCTATTAGGATTACAAACATATTAAAAGGGGGGGGTGAATTAGTGCTTTCAAAATAGAGAAATGATTCAATAAAACTGGTATCGAAAATATATTTTACTTAGAATATAAGTAAGTGTAGTAAGCAATTAAATCATTAAGCAATAATAATAAAGAGCATAAAAGGAAATGCATATTGAATTTATAGTGGTTCGATCATCGCGACCTACGTCCACTACTGATTCCTCCTCTATCGAGGCCACCGGCTTTCACTAACGATCTCCTTTTCAATGGGCAAAGATCAACTACCCTTGTTACAACTCTTTTCTACTTTTCAGAAGCTTAGAAGAGAACATTTACAACTCTCTTTTACAAGTAATCCTCACACCTCCCTTAGAATGATTGTACTTTGGACAAAAAGGACAAAACTCAAAATTTCTAAAATTCAAATGGGCAAAATTATCCTTTTATATAAAAACCTAATTCTCCTTCCCTACCTGTTGTGTTGCGATCACTGCCACCTCATAGGCAAAGATTGGTGCGAAGATTGGTGCATAAAAATCTAATTCCCATATTTTCACAAAAATGTTTCATCGTCATACGAAGATTGGTGCGCAAAAACCTGCGAAATCGAAAACTACGCATATCATAAAGTTGTGTTATCTAAAGAGATCGTATATCTCTGAATTTCTATCGATATATAGGAGAGGATGAAGGATGTCAACTGTCCTCCTCTCTAGAGGTGATCCACACGACAAGAGCTACGAAGACGCTCCTTGAATCGTTACCCAAATCTCCACATACCCTAAATAGGGGTTATTGGCTGAGAAGGAGAAGGAGAGAGGAGAATAGGAAGTGGCAACAAAAAAGGCCTAGCCTATGACCCTTTGGTTCTCTCCTATTTAGAGGCCCCCTATCAACTTAACCCTAATGGATTCTGCCCTATTGGGTACTAAATCTCTATCAAACTACCCAAGACTCTTAAATTGGTATGTTTGTACCCAATAATCTTTTATTAGCTCTTATTAGATCTCATCTATAGGATTCAATGATTCAAGGGCTTATTGGATATCCAATAAGATAGGGGCTCTAATGGATATCTCATATTCAAACCTCTACTCATCGCAACACCTACCATATGTGTGTAACCCTCTAGGCCCAATATCGAGTTGGTCATGAGTCATACTTGTCAGAACTCCTTCTAGCTTAGTGGATTATTATCTCCATAATAATTTACTCGACTCATCGACTATAGACGTACTATGTTATTACACCACAATCTCCAGATGATATAGGGGAATCTAATCCTTTGGGCCTATCTATCCTTAGTTACTATGTACCAATAGTCTCTCATCCATCTAATATCCTAAAGATCGCATACCGGGTATGGTGCTGTCAGGCCCACACTAGTTTCTACTCGAGTCTTGCTCTAATCAGATTCTCTCAAAGAACTCTTTCTCTCTCAATCTGAATGATCGCGACGAGGGATTTGTTTGAGTGAGAACATATGAGATATTTCTCTCATGACATCAAGAGAGGATGATCATCTATAGTTCTCGTAAAGTTGGTTGCTACTCCCGATGATTAGTTATGCTAGATCTGAAACTTCCAGGCCTATAAGTTCAGTATCAAAGAGTAAAGTACTTATACAGGACATCCTTGGTGTCTCAAGTCCAAGGACCAGATACACTACTGAGATGACGGAATCATTGTCTGATAATGGGGTATGATAGAATCGCTATTTGACAATGAGGTATCATCAATCATCCAAAATTCTGTAAGTGGATCAATTAGTGAACTCATTCTCCAATGAGCACATGTGCGGTATCCCTAGTGTCCCCATATGAATAATTATGAGACCAGCTGCCTCCATCATATGGATAGGTGTACAACACACTAGTCTATTCAGTTATCTCGATGTTCCTCTCGAGTGACCTATAACCGGGATTATTTAGGGTCTGTGTTTAAAGGCAAATCGGTCTCAATATCATGATCTACTCATGATCTGATTCACATTACAAAGATCCATGGACATCACAATATATGCAACATGTAAGATAAAATGATAAAATATCAAATAATATATTAAACAAAAAGAGTGCATATCATATCACACATGTTATCACTCACGTGATTGGCTTGCAGGGCACCTAAGACTGGCGCCTTGCCACATGAGTTGGGTTATCCCTGACCACATAGGTTGAGTCGTATATAGCTACATGGGTTGGATCTTGCTTAGCCACATGAATTGGGTCATACATGACAAGTTATACCTAGTTATTTTTTTTATTAAAAATAACTCAAATCCATGAATTAAAGAATTTCAATTCTTGATCTTAAATTTAAAACTAACTAAATCATAAAAAATCATATATAATTCTTGAAATATAGATATATCTAATTAAATAAATTAAAACTATTATATTAATCCAAAAATAAAAATAAAAAATTTACTTAAGCTTAAGAGACCATTATAAGTCAACTAATCATTTTAACATCACAAATCAATTATCATTATTTATTTATTATAAAATTTTAAAATTAAAATATTATTATGCATAATAAAATTATAACAATTCTAATATCAAAGATTTTAAAATATGAATCAATAATTATTAGAAAAGAATGAAAGATCATACCACTCCTCGAGAATCCTCACTTCAATGAATCCTCTCCTCGATCATTCCATTGCTAAGCTTGGTAAGGAAAAAAGGAAAAACGAGCCTCCTTTATATAGGAGAAGATGAGCTTTCTCCGAAAGATAAATAATAATTTAATTTTTTTATTTAATTTTATTTTATTTTCACGTACGAAATATAATATTTATTTCTTATGATTCATTCACAAAAATAGAATATAAACTATTTACTTCTTAAAAATCACATTATCCATTAGGAA